GAATGACACAGTAGTACAAAGATGTCCAATTCTGGCTGACACGAGTGATTTCTTCCATGAACAAACAGCTCTGAGTAGTCGACCGTTGGTGCATGGGATTATGGGTACAAGCAATGCCAGCAGGGAAGCAAACTCCTGCAGGGCTTTGCCCAAGCTCCTACCCTTCCTCAGGAATGCCCACGGCTTGCTGTCCTCCTCTCTAACCACCTTCTGCAGCAGGAAGCTCGGTGGCTCTTCCTTTCCTGCGGAGATCCCAGTTGAGACACCACCTGCACCTGCACCCCAAGCACCCTTTCATCCACGGCAGCTCTGGCTTCCAAGGTGGGAGGCAGACTCCCAGACTCCAGGCAACGCCCTCACTGTTTTAAAAACTCATCCTTACACTCCAGCTCGCGAGGCCATCCACCAGGGCCAGCCCCCGTGGCGTGTCTCTGCTGGCTCACCACAAGGCAGCTGGGCACCTCAAACCCAAACCAGATAGACGATGCGGTTGTGCCCCAAGTGTTTGCAGAAGGCTGATTTCACTGCAGAGGGGAAGGAAACCACTTCAAGTAAACATGCTGGCTAGATGCCAACACGTGGGACCGTGTGCTGCGCCTCACCCGCTTCCAGCCTCACGCACGCTGGGGGCTGGCTTGGAAACTGGTATCCTCAGACTCAGGGACATATTAAAATACCGCACGTTAAGCTGCAGCATCTTCAAACCTGCGTAGTCTGGTTAGCGTCAACGGTCGTTCCGCATGAAGGCACCAGGCAGGAAGCCACCGGAGCCAGGGTTTTGTTTTCCAATTAAATCACCACATTGAAATGTCTCCAGTGTGGGAGGGGAAGAGGCCCTTTTGGATCCGGTCTGGAAAGAGCTCCTACAGGAGCCCTCCCCCCACGCCCCTCCAGTCGACTAAAGTGCAAATGAAAGGACTACCGGGTCCTTGCCAGGACGCTTCGGGGTTTGCCTCAACCAACAGTCGTCTCGCGTGCTAGTGGCCACGTCGGAGTGACTCTCTTTGTACTGGCCCGAGTTCCCATTCACAGCAGCCAGGAAGGTCCCAGATGGGCAGCCTGCGGCGCCAAGTCCTCAGGCCCCACCTGTGCCCTTCCACTGTGGTCACTTCCCTCACGCCTGTCCCGCTTCCTGCTTGCCACGGGAGGGTGGCTCCCACCAGTCCCCGGAGCGGCCAACGTGGCGCAGGCACTAGGGCCCTCCCTGGCTCTTCTGTCCTTAGAAGTAGTCTCTCCTCCTGCTCTCGTCACTGATGAACAAGGGGTTACACTGCCCGGGGAAAATGCAAGAGTGCCGGGAGCCCGGCAGTCCAGTGTAGGCCGGGTAGAGTCCGTTGTGTTCAAGTTCAGGATTCCTGACACCCGGGGGCTGGAGGCCAAAGAGAAAAGAAGAGCCGTCAGCGGGTTAATCTTGGCAGCGTTAGAAAAGCACGCTACCTTTTTTCATAAGCGGCAGGGGAAAGCAGACAGAAATGGCAGCGGCATGGCATGGCATGGCTGAGCGAGAAGCCACGCGGGCCCGTCTCTGGATGGACCTGGGGGTAGAGACGTTGCCAGTGTTTTCCAAGGAGATCTGCAGGGATATGGAGCAGGGGCAGCCCCAAGACTTCGGAGCCCCGGCGGGAAAGACCTGAATTACTCCTGTGTGATGATGGAGCCGGGGATTACCATCCTCTCACCAAAAATAGCCTCTTTGGAGGAAGTAGCCGCCTGACGGCCTCACGTTGTAAGCTCGGGCTCCGCTTCTACAAAGAGCCGAGCCTCCTATTTCTGGTAAGCAAAGACTGAGTTCATGTAAGTCCTCGACTGTATTTCTTTTACGGCAACTTCCTTGCTCGTGCCATGGAAACACGCAGCTAAGGTGAGGCCTGTGATGCCGACGGCTCAGGCCCAGGTGCTGCTGTGCACCTGGCTGACAGCAGGGCTGAGGAGCCCCAGTGGAGGAGGGCACGTGTGGGCACACGTGACTCAGATACCTGCTCAGTGATGCCTTCAGGAACGAGGCCTTTGTCCGGGAGCAGAGATGTCGGGGACAATACTTTGACTAGAGCCGAGTTTGCGACTACACAATGCTCTTCCCAGATCTCTTCCGGTTCTTCCACCAGATTCAAATTTCTCAAAACGAGTCCATCAAAGCGAACAGCGCCTTGGTATAAAACGCTCCCTTCCAGTTCCAAGTGTGACGCCTCACCATTAATTCCCATAGCAACTGGAGGGATTCTGGGAGCCCAGAGGATTATCCAGGGCTATGAAGTCCCCAGGGGACAAAGTTCCGTGTT